TTATCCAGAACCTCCCTAACCCCCAGTGTTTCTTTGTAATAATTTTTCACTTACTGATTGCTCCCATCCTCCTCCTTGCTCCTGCTGTTTTCATTCGGAACATTTTCTTTTCCTCACTGCAAAATCCCATCCCCATGGTCCCTGTAAGTATAGTACTGACTCTGAATAAAGTCTTCGGTATTGTGCTTTAACAAGTGTCATTGGAAGGCAGATGTGGTGGCTCACCCTGTAATTGCAGCACTCTGGGAGGCTGAGGCAGGAGGATCCCTAGAGCTTAGGAGTTTCAGACCAGCCTGAGCAAAAGCAAGACCCCGTCTCTACTAAGAATAGAAAAACTAGCTGGGTGTTGTGGCAGGTGCCTGCAGTCCCAGCTACTCAGGAGGCGGAGGCAGGAGGATCACTTGAGCCCAGGAGTTTGAGATTGCTGTGAATAGTGTGATGCCATGGTATGCTACCGAGAACTGTTTGTGCAAAGGTCACTGGACGGGGGTCTTCTTGCACTGTGCAGTCTGTAGATACCTGGGTAAGTCCAGGATGGCCCAAATGGCCTCCCTGTGCCCATGTATGGCACAGAAAGAATACTGACTCTCTGAGTAAGGAAGGGTAGCATTGTAGCCCCCATCCCTGACATCTTCCCATCATTTCTTCCATCTATCTGTTCAGGAAGTCTGCCCCTCCATTTCCATCTGCTAGGCACCTGGGGGCTTTCTGCTTTTCCTCGGCTCAAAAAGGTTCCCTTGTACCTCGAATAGCCTCTACTTGTCTGTGGATTTTCATTCTTTTTGCATTTTATATTAAGGCCTACTGCTTCCAGGCAGTTCAAAGCATCTGTTAGGTCGGATGTCACCAGCGGCCTCATCTCCAGCGGCCTCATCTGACATCCAAGTTATCTGACTTCCAAGAGGGAAGAAGCTGAGGATCCCACTCTGCCCTGGGAGGCTCCTGAGGCCAGCAGGGACCTCCCAGGGGACATGTTAGTCCTGAGAAGAGGAGGCAGACAAGGAAATCAGGATATATCAGCCTGAGCAAAAGTGAGATCCCCATCTCTACTAAAAATAGAAAAAACTGAGGCAAGATGATTGCTTGAGCCTGAGTTGGAGGTTGCTGTGAGCCCTTATGATGCTATAGCACTCTACCCAGGGTGACAGCTTGAGACTCTGTCTCAAAAAAAAAAAAAAAA